GAACTGAAGATGTTCAAAATAATGTTCTGAACAATATGCAACCTTTCATTTTTCGCTATACGTACCCTTTAAGGAGTTGAAGGTTTAGCCCCTTAATATTTCTTTTGCAAATAACTCGAAAACAAAAGAGAATCTCTGAATAGTTGTTGGACAAAAAGTGTTCAAAAACATGAGAGCATTAAGATAAAATCCAGAGAAAGGGGCTGGGTACTCAAATTTGGGGCCGAGAAGGGCCAAAAGTCTTTAATCGATAACTCTTTATCAGTAAATATTTTGTAATACAATACTGAAGGAAAAATGTTTGATGGAATTCTAGAATATTCTTTTCGTATTTGATGGAATGAGTTATGTTAAGTAATATTAGTGTGTTATATGAAATGTTTTGTTTAGTATTTGAAGTTCCGTAGAATGTCTCCTTAATATGTATATATATGAAAATAGGACTTAAGTGTGTGTTGAGATGTGCCGTGAAAGCGGTAGTAGAAGTGTTGTATAGAGGTTATATATATGTTGGAAATAGTGCCGCGTAGTACTACACTGTTCTGATTGGTCAGTTGTTTTCATGGTAATGATGACGTCACTTCTGGTGCGGGAGAATTTGAATCTAGTAAATGTGTAATATTCGGTGTCTGTGTTTAGTGTGTTGTAGATTGATTTTTGGTATGTTTGGGTTGAATTTGTTGGTATTGATTGTTATATGATTTTAGAAAGTGTTTTGGTGTTTCAGAAATGTCGTGAGAGCTTTAAGATGATATGAAGAAAAAAAATGCTGATCCCTAATTTTAGGGTGCATAAGGAGCCAAAAGTCGAATTTTTAAGTCTTAATGTTCAATGTCTGTTTACAGATTATGGAGGCAAAATCGTTCTTCTTCACAATCTTTATCATTATTTTAGAATGAAATTCTCAATCAAAATCTTATCTTATCTTATTAAGAATCGGACGGAAGACCCACTCGTTGCTCGCAACGAGATCGTATCTAGTTTTCAGGACATCTTCGATGTGAGTGAACTCGATGAAAATCAAGCCCCCCTGTCTTGCCTAGATACCGCGTTTGACCAGGAAAAACTTAACTGTCAAGACCATAATCAAGCCAGTACATGTCAGATAGATATAGTGTCCATCTCTAACGAAACCTACTTTACCAGTTCTGATCAGGACATAATTTCCAGAACCGACCAGAATCAGGAGGGGATGTCAGATGACAAAAACATTGGAAACACACTTGAAAACCACACATCAGATACCGTGTTTGACCACGACAATCAAGCCAGTACATGTGAGAGAGATATAGTGTCCAAATCTGACCAAACCTATTGTACCAGTTCTGACCAGGACCTAACTCCCAGAACGGACCAGAATCCAGAGGGAATGTCTGACAAGGACATTGACAAGAACATTGGTAACACACCAGAACAGCACACTTCAATCAAAAACCCCAAAATTGCCAGGTATGTATTGGATAAGTATGACTTTAGTTTTTTGAAGAATTTTTTTCCTCATTTAACTCTCTGTGAATAATAATTTTTGTAAAACTCATTTAACATTTGGTGAAATGTAAAAACCCTTCTTTCTTCTAACGTTAACTCTCTATGATTGATTGTAATTTAACCTTTCACAGGACACAACTGTTTATGCAATTGAATTTAAATTTCATTCTAATTTAATTTCTTAAAGTAGATATTTCGATAGCGGACAATTCATAAAAGTCATTTATGGGTGTGGATACTTGCCAGCTGTTGTAAGGGCATTAGTTTACTTTGATGTTAAACATTTAAAATTGCTTAGTTTTTGGTTTTATTTTAAACTAACCACATCATTCATTTTAAGCCATGGAGTTTATTTCAGTTGTTTATATTTTTTCTTTTCTTCTTCATCTAACCTACCAGTATTACATCTTTTCATAAACTACTATAGAATTTTGATCCCAAATTTTATTTCTGACAGATCTGTAAGCTTGTTTTTAATCTGAATGTAGCAGATGTCTACAGTGTATATGTAGTTAATTTCAAATATCTTATTCTGTCATGTTTTTATTTCTAGGTGGTTGACTGGCCCTGTGTCCAGTTTTTTAAAAGAAAGAAAGACTTCTTATGGATAAAGCTAGATGTGTCCCACGAAATAGAGAAGAATGATGTCAAAGGCCTGATCAGTGCTCCTACTGTAAAGAAGCAAGGCAGAAGAAAATTTTATGACTTTCATGGTAATTCATGATTATATTCATCATTCCCAAGAAATCTATTTTATAGAAACATTTACAGAAAATATTTTTTAGATAGCAAATAAATCTGTAACATATACAAGATAAATAAAAATGTCAAATATCTATTTGTAGAGTCCATGTCTGACCAAAACTGTTTTACCAGCTCTGATCAGGACATAATTTCCAGAAAAGATGAGAATCAGGAGGGAATGTCAGATGACAAAAACATTAGAAACACACTTGAAAAGCACACATCAGATACCGTGATTGACCAAGAGAAACCTAAGTTTCAAGATCAAAATCAAGTTATAACATGTGAGAAAGATATGGTGTCCATGTCTGACCAAACCTATTGTACCAGTTCTGACCAGGACCTAACTCCCAGAACGGACCAGAATCCAGAGGGAATGTCTGACAAGGACATTGACAAGAACATTGGTAACACACCAGAACAGCACACTTCAATCAAAAACCCCAAAAATGCCAGGTATGTATTGGATAAATATGACTTTAGTTTCTTGAAGAATTTTTTCCTCATTTAACTCTCTGTGAATAATAATTTTTGTAAAACTCATTTAACATTTGGTGAAATGTAAAAACCCTTCCTTTCTTCTAACGTTAACTCTCTATGATTGATTGTAATTTAACCTTTCACAGGACACAACTGTTTATGCAATTGAATTTCATTCCAATTTAATTTCTTAAAGTAGATATTTCGATAGCGGACAATTCATAAAAGTCATTTATGGGTGTGGATACTTGCCAGCTGTTGTAAGGGCATTAGTTTACTTTGATGTTAAACATTTAAAATTGCTTAGTTTTTGGTTTTATTTTAAACTAACCACATCATTCATTTTAAGCCATGGAGTTTATTTCAGTTGTTTATATTTTTTCTTTTCTTCTTCATCTAACCTACCAGTATTACATCTTTTCATAAACTACTATAGAATTTTGATCCCAAATTTTATTTCTGACAGATCTGTAAGCTTGTCTTTAATCTGAATGTAGCAGATGTCTATGTACTTGTAGTTAATTTCAAAAATCTTATTCTGTCATGTTTTTATTTCTAGGTGGTTGACTGGCCCTGTGTCCAGTTTTTTAAAAGAAAGAAAGACTTCTTATGGATAAAGCTAGATGTGTCCCACGAAATAGAGAAGAATGATGTCAAAGGCCTGATCAGTGCTCCTACTGTAAAGAAGCAAGGCAGAAGAACATTTTATGACTTTTATGGTAATTCATGTTAATATTCATCATTCCCAAGAAATCAATTTTATAGAAACATTTACAGAAAATATTTTTTAATTACGTTTAGCAAATAAATATGTAACATATACAAGATAAATAGATATGTCAAATCTAAATAGATAAATAAGAAAAAATATACTCTCCGTCTCTTTCCCTCTTAAAAACCTACAACACAAGCGTTTCTGTCTTTTAAAGAAACATTTATTGCCGGACACTGTGACTATTATTAAATCTATAACACATTCTGGAGAGAAATATTTAATTTTATATTTTTATTTTACAGATCCACATCTCTGAGACTGACAATATTCTTTGACAACGTGTTCAGTTGTCTCCATTTTGGGGATCAAACCCTTCTCCACTTCAAATTGGATTCTTCAAAACAAGAAGAAATTATCTCTTGCACCACAATTTTATAAAGTTGGTTATGAAGTGACATATGGTAAAATTTCAACCTAAAACAAAAAGATAAAGTTTTAATGATTTTTTTATGCTGATGAAAAGTTAATAAAATAAAATTCACATCATTCAAATTGCTTTTCTCTTTTTTGGGGGCAGAATAGTTAAAAAAGAACTCAAAAAGGTACAAGTCTTGCTGGTAAAATAGTCCTATTCAGGAAATAAATACTTAGGGCAAATTCTTTTTATTACAATATTTATATACATACTGTTGGTGGTTTAATATTGAGAAAAAAGAAAACAAGAATGAGCCTTATTTGTTTTAGAAAGGTACCAGGACACCAGCATATGTTATTGCATACATTGGCAAGAGTTTCTATCATGTCACAGTAGACATTTGATGAGATATTTTACCTGTCTGCAGTGCTAGTACGAGATAATTCAGCTCGAATTACGCTATTTGTTAATAGTTATGTTGAATGTCCGTCATGTTACGTTATATGTCCGTCATGTTACATTATATGTCCGTCAATGTTACGTTATATGTCTGTCATGTTACGTTATATGTCCGTCATGTTACGTTATATGTCTGTCATGTTATATTACATGTCCGTCATGTTACGTTATATGTCTGTCATGTTACGTTATATGTCCGTCATGTTACGTTATATGTCTGTCATGTTACGTTATATGTCCGTCGGGCATACATTATTTGTCTGTCATGTTACGTTATCTGTCTGTCAGTGTTACGTTTCATAAATTTTAATCTTAAATAGAATCTTTATTTTATAATTGACTATCTTCTAATGCCATTTTATATCCTTTTTAGAACCTAAAAATGATATACAAACGAAGAAAATATTCAAAAAATCACATCTAAATATTTTCCAATTTGTCCCCGAATATGTTCACAAGAGCGAATTTTGAGCCTATAATGAAAAAGGCAATTTTTTTTCTCACTGGAGAAACTTAAACACGGTCAGTGTGCCCTGTAGTTGTCCAACATAAAGATTTTTCTCTTCATCTGCACAAACACTATAGGGACCGTATATCCCTTGTTCGTGTGTGAGTAATAGAGACAAGAACTGACCGTCCTGATCAAGGAGGTGAACAGAGTTAGTGTGATAATCACACACCAGGATGTGACCGAAGACATCAATACAGATTCCATAGGAACGGAACTTTGATTTCTGACCAGGAGAACCTGTGTTGTCCTGATTTATTCACCACCACTACTCCCTTAGTATAGTCTGTTGTACAGATATCTCCATTGATGTTTTCTGTGATGTAGTGTGGTTTAGTATATAGTTTTCGCCGCCTGTTATCTCTTTGTATGTTCTCTATTTCTTTTCCTGTCTTGTTGTACCTGGTGACTCTAGCCTCTCTATAACCAGTCATCCCCACCAGTAAGTCCCCGTTGATGTGGGAGGAGTGTATGCTGAGTGGGACCCAGACTCCTGGTTTTATGAATTCATTGATTGTATTATCCTGTGTTACCGGTATCCTATTGATAACTTTATTGACTATGTCTGTAAAGATAAGATCCCCATTCTGTGTCACTGTGTGGTGACCATCAGATCCACCGCTGGTTTTTATCTTCTGTATCACATTTCCCAGTAGATCTGTTTGGACAAGATTGCCATATTTGTCACTGATCCAGAGTCTGTCTGATGGATATGATGTTATATGTAATATGCCAAGGAGATCTGGTACATTGAACTCCCTCACCTTGATGACTGATAGAGGCTGTGTTTGTTTCTCTCTGTCTTCTGTCATCTGTTGCTGGTAGAGGACCACCTCATGGTTATTGTTTTCTGGACTTTTCATATGTTCATCTCTGCATTGTGTGCACAATTTTTGATGACAAGGGTTGCAATAAAACTCACATTTTCTATCACATTCTTCAATGCCACACTCTAAAAAGAGCTGGACAGTGCAAGCTGCTTTACATGATGACATCTGAAAATCATGATGTTTCTATATAGTAATATGGATTTCTCATCTTCGCAGTGAATAACTTTATTAAAATAATACCAAAAGCTTTTTTTTTTATTTTTAAGAAGACTATTGATTAATAGTCAAACATCAAATAGTTTACTAGTAAATCTTTGACATCGGTTTAAGTAAGTACTGGAAATATAAAATTTTGTATCATTTGATTTAATAAATTTTTATTCCATAAAGAAAAAAAAAATATACAATTGGATCTTAAAATCCCACAAATGATCTCTCACAGTACGTAAAAAGTTTCCATAAATACCGGTATAAAGATTTTTACGAAAGAGATACATAATATAGCATAATTTCATTGTTATATAATGTTATATATTATATAAAGTGATAAGCTTTAGATAAATAATGGACATGGTATTCTTTAATACTTACAATATATGTTCATGGCCTACAGAAACTTTTATCCAAATATTTCTGGATGTAGTAGTTTGACTAAGTCGAGCACGTAAAAGTTATCTGTACTTTGTTTACTAGCTAGATGGAGATAAATGCAATCACATGGGCTAATGTTAATAAACAAACTGTTGAGAAACAGAATACCACACTTATTAGTCCTTGTCCTGGTGCAACGCCGGCAGATATGACAGTCATATGATTTCTCATTGAACGTTGAATTTTGTTAAATATTTGATTTTGTTGATATCATTCCATAATGGCGTGACCTGCATATTTAGAATTATCAAAACTACTTAAAACTTATTGTGGAAGTCAAACCCTCTAGGAAAAATACTCAGTACAATTGTTACATTTAAAACTTTAATGTATCACAGATGTCAGTAATGTGAAATTCAGTTGTATTGTCAATACAATGTCAGAGTCAATGGCATGGATAAACTGAAAGTTGTTTGTCAGAATTATCAGATTAATAACTTGAGTTCTAAAGTAGAACAAAATTATTTTGTAATTAAATCCCAACTTTGATGATTTTAGTCATTCCATGAAGTTGTTGTGGAGAAAATCCGTAAACTATCTGGAGACTACTCTTTAATGGCTTCATCTTGAAAGAGTATGAGATTCTTCACCAACTAGTACTGTTAACAGAAGTCCGAAATACACTCACTGTAAGTTTTCACTTATTTTGTATTTACCAAATAAATTTCCTGTCCGAATAATCTGAGAAATTTACACATGTATAAATTGTTGAAGCGTATATTTGATTAAGATTTCAATAGGTTATTTTCTTAACTTTACTAAAACTCTGTCCTAGGTATTGTATTCTGACATCAACTTCTTTTTGCTGATCTTGGTACAAATATCTTTTCTTTATTACAGTTGATAAGGAACGCCTGTGAGAACAATGTGATGGGTGACCAGCTGAGTGACCACTACCTGTCTGCGGCCGATGACCTCTACCACTTAAGGATCCCCAGGATCTGGTGTAAGATGACCGGCACCACCGCCCCACCCTACACCTACAACGCCGCTCAGTGGCTCCGGGATCTGGAGGACCGCTAGAAACACTTTGAGAAGATCCTCAGCATGGTGTGCATTGTATAAATGAAAATGGGGGAGGATCCATAGGGAGTGGAATCCTTTTATGCAGATTTATTTTTTCATATTAGTTAGTTAGAAACAAATAACACTTTATCCTACTAAGCTTTCATCTTTAGTAAAAGAACTTAATGTTTTATATGGGGATTATTTTTTGCGAGTTACAGGGAAGGAAGGCCATGCCAGCCTATTGGTTAGGAGCATTCTTCAATCCTAGAGGACTTTTTCCTTGCTGAAACAGGAAGCCATCAAGAGGTACTGTGGAGATAGGTATGGCAATTTCGAACAGTTCACCTTCCAGACCGATACAACATTCAGAGATTTTGGACATCTAATCTTTTTAATGTTCTAATCTTGCTTTTTAATTGCTACCAAAGCTTACAATAGACTGAAACAGAATTCATGAATAAAATTGATTTTGGTATTTTTGTTTCCTTCTTTAGTTACTTCAGCCTCCACCAGAGGGCGTGTACGTCCACGGAATCGACCTCTGTGGATGTTCCATTGAGAAGACGACCAATGAATTCCAGGACCAGGCCTCCAGACAGGGTTACGCCTCCCTTCGTAACCTCTGTCGACAGTGCTACCCGATTACAACTGTAATGAGAAACCCGCCATACATGTAAAGGAACCTTCCTTCAAGTGCCCATTCTATCCCTCCAGAATAGCCCTACGGGACCCCATTATGGAAAATTGACATCAAGAAGAAGGGAATCCCGCCCACGGAATGGGCACTACGTGGGCTCACAGCTACCATCTGGCCTTATTAATTATAAAAACTGCCAAAGACGTTGTCTTGTGTTGTATTAAAAAAATCCAAAATAATAACTTTTAGGAGTGATTTATTGAATAAGATCTGACTTTTTTTCTGACTTTGTGATTTATTGAAAGTTTTACTGTAAGACATAATGCATTACATAGATAAATAGGTGTTTTTTGCTGAATGCAAACCTTATTCCGTCCTCATCACGTTCAATCTGTGATTACAATGGTTGTGTACAGAGTAGATTTGTATCTTTATGGTTGTGTTTCTCTGTGACAGTGATGCATTAAATATTTGTTTATACTCTTGTTGATATTGTGTTTATTTTGAAATATATACTGTATATTTATTTCTATTTTAAAGACTTTTCATGCATATGTGTCAAAATATTGTATTTTGCTGAGTTTGATTAAAACTTGAATGGCGTTGTAATATTGTTGTTTTGTTAAAAGTGAAATATTTACGAAAAGTGATTCTTTAACATTTTGTTTGAAATTCATGGATTACAAAGAAATAACATACATGTGTTTTTGACCTTCTGACCCTGGAATCATATTACATTCGAAATTCAGTGATATTATTCACCCTTGACCATTAACATACCTTTCGTTTTGACCTGATGATGCTGGAATCATTCTTACATTGACCACCTTGTAACTCTTAGCCAGTATGAATTGAAACTGTAAACCATAGACATATTTAAACATTCAAATGAATAGACATTTTTTTCCTCTATATGCAACATCTAAAGAATTATTGTGACTGTAGATGAGTAAGTTTTACAGTGTTCTACATTTATTTTCAAGATCATTGGTACGACCATACCCTAACTAACAATAACCTTGATCTTTTTATCCTAAAATGAGTACTATGTCGTCTATCTTCTGGTTATCCACAACATCTTTAGCAAAACTTGATTAATTTTGTTGTTTTAAAAGTTATCGTATACAGTATATTTTGGTTTGGATTTAATTATGTTGATAATTATTAACAATGATATAGAGGAAATCTGATCCCTCGCAAATACTCGTGATTTTGCAATATATATGATTCAGATTTAAATATGCAATTTAAAACTTTATGTAGATCTAATATTAAGAATAGCTGCAATATTGTTTTCACTGTAGATACTTGTACACTGTCAGTGTGTTGGAGTATTGTCCCACATAGAGATTGTTTTCATCATCCACACACACACTACGGGGACAGTATATCGCTTGCTCTTGTGTGAGTAATAGACACAAGAACTGACCGTCCTGGTCAAGGAGGTGAACAGTGTTACTAACACCATCACACACCAGGATGTGACCGAGGACATCAGTACAGATTCCATAGGGACGAAACTTTGACTCCTGGCCTGTGTAGGAGAATTTGTGTTGTCCTGATTTATTCACCACCACTACTGCCTTTTTATTAAAGTCTGATGTACAGATATCTCCATTGATGTTTTCTGTTATGTAGTGTGGATTACTATACAGTTCCTGTCCTTTGTTATCCCTCTGTATGTTCTGTAGTTCTTTTCCTGTCTTGTTGTACCTGGTGACTTTACCCTCTCTTTCATTCATTAGTCCCATAAAACTTAAAGTCTCTTTAAACATCCCCACCAGTAAGTCCCCATTGATGTGGGAGGAGTGTATGCTGAGTGGGACCCAGACTCCAGTTTTAATGAATTCAGTGATATTATTATCCTGTGTTATCCAATTGATGACATTCTTTTTTCTGTCTGTAAAGATCAGATCCCTGTCCTGTGTGACTGTGTGGTAACCCTGAGATCCACCACTGGTTTTTATCTTTTGTATGACATTCCTTTGTAAATCTGTTTGGACAAGATTACCATCACCATCACTGATCCAGAGTTTGTCTGATTGATCTAGTGATACATGACGTACATTATCAACACCTGGTACATTGAACTCCCTGACCTTTGTGACAGAGGCAGATAGAGACATTGTTTGTTTCTTGTCGGATTTCATTCTGTCTTCTTTCATCTGTTTATGTGTATGTTTCATTGCTGTATTGTAGACACTTTCAATGGACTTTATTTCTCTCCTCTCTGCCATAGTTTTGGGGACATGTATTTTACCTAGCAATTTGATGACATCTTGTTTGCTGTATGGACCAGCTGTAAATTCTGGTGTGACTGGTTTTGTTGTTTCTGGTATGGATCGGATCTTTGGTTTCTTCTCACACAATAATTTCTGGGTTTCTTTAGAGAACAGGCATCTGTGGAGCTCTTTGACAAGGTTATTAAGATAATTGATGTATTCATCCATGGTCTTGTCTTGGGTGTTTATATCTTCTAACAGTGAATGCTCTATCTGGTCTAACTGCTTCATGTTCTCAGATACGACTGTGTCCACAAGATTTTTTAAGGTTTCACCTTCAGTCTTCATAGATGTTCTAATGTTGTCTATAATGTGTTTAATTTCCCAGGAATTTTTTTTAATATCTTTCTGTAAATCTTGTGATGTAGGGAGAAAATATTCATGAATTTTGGAGATTTCCGTTTGGCAGACTGCAAATTTTTCAGCGTAGACTGCTTCAAGATCAACAAATTTAT